AGCAGAAGAATGTCATATAATCAAGGGTGCACAGCATACTGATAGTCTCCACTGAATCTGTAAACTAGTCATTTAAATCCTTACACCCTTTCCTTACAAGAGAGGCTATAAGGAGTACAGACAAAAGCTCAACAGGAATCCATTCTCTTGACAATGGCTCGAACAATAAAAGGAAATGTTCTGAACCACACTCATTACTGTCTGAAGACTTTAATCTTGTGATCTCCTTCAGAGTCTGTTCTCAAAAACCTTCAGGTATCCTTAGAAGCCATAGAAAATGAGGATAATGTTTGTAGTTTAATTATGCAACGAAACCATCACAGAAAGCTAGGTGATCTGGCAAGGTATAATGACGTCTCAGTTATATCGCCAGGACAGTGATGTCTTTTTCTCTAAGTTATATGATAGTTGAATTTTCCTAATGGGGGTGGGGACATCCCACGTACAGGATAGGTGAAACTGGAGGGGAGAGAGAAAAAAACTTTGCACTCCTCATTTTCTTTATTCTGCTCAGAAAGTGGTAATTAACACAGGGAGTGTCATGTACTTCCTTAAGGAAATTTTTTTACATGCCACTGCTATTGCGCACTTGTGTATATAAGCATGGTTTTTAATTGACAAGATATAAAGCAGTGGTTGGGACACTGGGCAAGCTTTCTAAGTAAGCAACTGCCTGGAGCCAATTTCATATACAGTTGTACCTTGGATCCCAAATGCCTTGGTACTTGGACGTTTTGGCTCCCGAGCGCAGCAAACCCGGAAGTGAGTGTTCCTGTCTGTGAACGTTCTTTGGAACCAGAACGTCCAACGGGGCTACCGCGGCTTCTGATTGGCTGCAAGAGCTCCCTGCAGCCAATCAGAAGCCGCGCTTTGGTTTCCGGACATTTTGGAAGACTTCTGGAACGGATTCCATTCGACTTCCAAGGTACGACTGTATTGATGCCCAAGTTACACCTATTCCAGGTAGTATAGGACAGCAACTCTAACTCTCTCTGGACAGGTCTGTCCGGAATAACACACGTGTCATTCACGATTTGAATGTGGACTAGGGGGCTGCCCTGAAGTGTATAACCGAGACCAGGATGGATGACCTGGACGGCTCCAGATACTTTTGGTAGTTTGACCACCCTCTTAAACGCAAGGAATGACAATCCAGAAGAGGATTTTCTCTGCGACAGCACCTAAATTGTGAAACTACCTCCTCACAGACGTACATCTGGCACTTTCATTGTACAGTTTCCACCCTAAGTAGAAGATGCACTTAACAGTAGATTACACTGTTCTGTTCTGTTTATAATTGTTTTATAGTTGTATATTATATTATAAAACAATTACAAACAGAACAGAACAGTGTGATCTATTGTTAGGTATCAAAAGGTCGGCAGTTCAAATCCCCACAACGGGGTGAGCTCCCGTTGCTCGGTCCCTGCTCCTGCCAACCTAGCAGTTCGAAAGAACATCAAAGTGCAAGTAAATAAATAGGTACCACTCTGGCAGGAAGGTAAACGGCATTTCCGTGCGCTGCTCTGTTTCGCCAGAAGCGGCTTAGTCATGCTGGCCACATGACCCGGAAGCTGTACGCCGGCTCCCTCGGCCAATAAAGCGAGATGAGCGCCGCAACCCCAGAGTCGGTCACGACTGGACCTAATGGTCAGGGGTCCCTTTACCTTTATATAGCAGTGCTATGCTGAATTATTTGCAGTGACAATTCTTTTGTTGCAGAAAGCCCAGGCGATTACATTATTGTAACCTGCCCTGGGAATTTTTGCTGAAGGGCTGCATGTTTTTTTTATACAAATAAATAGTTTTCCACCTGCTCAAGGTGGGATCCCAAGGTGGGATTCCAAAGCAGTGTACAAATAGTAAAACTGCACAATAAATGATGACAAAAATATAAAACAACACAATATAAAACTTATACTGAGTTGGACAAGGTTGGATAGTGGAAAATTCATCTTCAACAGGTGCTCTGAGCTCAATGGAATCGGGGGCCATGTTTCCATTCTGCCTTGGCACTATCACCCTCTGAGCCTTCCCTACTTTTCCGGAAAGGTATGCTATGTATCCAATGCACTCTTCTCCAAATGAAGCTGAACCTGCAGAAGAGGCCTTGAGTTTCTTCCCATCAATAAGGGAAGGTAGAACAGAGAAAAGCATTGTTCAAGATAGTGTTTGTGTCGCCTCCACAAATCCTTAAAAATTCTTAGAAACATTAACCAAGGACACTGGGTTACTTGAGTGGCAATCTCATTACTCCTTCTCTTCATGCACTCCACAGTAATATCTAAAGTAGCTTTTAGACTAGGATTATAAAAGGAAAAGCCAACCACAAAGAACACGATCAGGTGGGTCGCCCCCCAAAAGCTAATTGTGTGACCAGCATAATTTGTCACACAATGCCGTAGGTATCATGGCAACAAAGCTAATGGCAGGATGCATATATTTAAATTGCTATTAATTTTCAAAGATCACTCACGCATATTAAAAGATAAACTGACAGCTGTTAAGAAAAACCATCAGAGGGTGACAAGATTTAAAACAGGCCAACCAAATGACTTTCGGGGTAACACGATGATAAATAATATTTAAAGCACATGTTTCCCCATATAATTACTTTTTTAAAAGCTACCCTAAATTCCGGGAAATTACATGGTTGCATACCCCAAGTATGAATCAGAAATATAATGTAAAAACATTCTGATTTCAAGAAGTGCGGGCGGAGGTAATTGCAGTGAAGCAGCTGATAAACCACCAAGTACTTTCTGCCTCCATCAGATTTCAGTTCCACTTGAGATGTGCAGATTTCAAGTAGCTTATGAATACATTGATAAACAAAGAATTGTTCTGAACATCTGTAAGCAAACTATGAAGAGATGTTTCCTACTGAATGAACATCATGAGTTTCACATAATGCTTGCCAAAAAATGTGTATTTGTGTATTGAGTAAAATGCACTGGAAATAGCCCAAACACTTATCCATTGCAAATGCCTTTTCAAATTTGCATCTGTAGGACAATTTACTGTGATGTAAAAATAATTCCCTATCAGAGTACTTATCGGCTTCAGAAATCTGAGCAGGCCGATTGCTCCTTCAGTTCAATGCAACGTGGCATCCATCTTGCCACCAGAAAAGGTGCTGTGCACTAACTATTCTTAAAATCATATATATAATAACACATGTTTGCTCCTAGTTTCTGCTGATAGTGCATGGCAATCAAAATGGGGTCAATTAATCTTAAAAGGTTTTCAAGTGTGTTGCAGATAAAAAAATTCGGCATGGATTATTTTGCTTTCAGGCAGAGGTTGTGTAAGATGATCACTTTTGTAGTTTCTGATACCAAAACATCATATTTTTAGAGATATTCTGCACCAGCCCATGGTACTCACAGTTACTCCTGGTGGCTGAATTACATCACAGCTGTTATGGCACAGAGGCTAGGCCACAACCTTTGCATCCTTTCTGTCCGAGAAAAATACAAGTGCACCCAGTCTCTAATGCCTTATTTTACAAGCTCCTAGCGCACAACCCTCGGATTGCATAAGAAGTCAAGTTATGCTGAGTCTGCCCATTGGTCTATCTAACTCAGCATTATCTGACTGGCAGGGACTCTCCATGGTTTTGGACATGAGCTTCTTTTACAGCTCCACATGGAGACGTCTATGATTGAACCCGCGAACTCCTGCATGCAAAGCAGATACTCTATGGCTTTCCCCCATTTTGCAGTCGTAACAACACTCCAGTCATTCCAATGACTTCTTGGATTTCCGGGGCAGTTGGGTTGGCCCCCTTGCACCCACAGGAAACCAAGGACGACATAGCACCTTGAGATACTGAACTTCTAATAGCAGGTCAAGACCCACAAATGATCGTGCTGTGACTTAAGGTCAATGACAAACCTAGACAGCATCTTAAAAAGCAGAGACATCACCTTGCCAACAAAGGTCCGTATAGTTAAAGCCATGGTTTTCCCAGTAGTGATGTATGGAAGTGAGAGCTGGACCATAAAGAAGGCTGATCGCCGAAGAATTGATGCTTTTGAATTCTGGTGCTGGAGGAGACTCTTGAGAGTCCCATGGACTGCAAGAAGATCAAACCTCTCCATTCTGAAGGAAATCAGCCCCGAGTGCTCACTGGAAGGACAGATCCTGAAGCTGAGGCTCCAATACTTTGGCCACCTCATGAGAAGAGAAGACTCCCTGGAAAAGACCCTGGTGTTGGGAAAGATGTAGGGCACAAGGAGAAGGGGACGACAGAGGACGAGATGGTGGGGCAGTGTTCTCGAAGCTACCAGCATGAGTTTGACCCAATTGCGGGAGGCAGTGGAAGACAGGAGTGCCTGGCGTGCTCTGGTCCATGGGGTCACAAAAAGTTGGACACGACTAAACGACTAAACAACAACAACAAGTGACTTATTGCGAAAGGAAGTTTCCTAACCTTGCAGATTGTATGCAATCCCCAATGCAAAACATTACCAGGGAATGGGGGTATTTGCCGGGCACATTGCCACAGTTCCCACAATCCCATGTAAGCAGAGCACTAGGCAAAACAAATAAATCTGCGCTTCACTGTCAAAATGGGTTACGGAATTCTCCCTTTTCTTGGCACCATATCTGGGTTCCTTTGATGGAACACTTATTTTATTTACGCCTTTCAGTGCGGAGCGCACACAGAGCCCAGCCACAGCTCAGCATTTGAACACTTGGTTTCCATACTGAAGGTCACGGATTCAATCCCTGGCCTGCACCTCCAGCTAAATGGACCTCTTGATAGCTGAGCTGCCAAAGGCTTTTCTGCCTAAATCCTTGGCAGGCCAGAGTAGGAAGCCCTGGTCTATGTAGAAAGATCAATGTTCTGGGTTGGTGAGAGGCAAGTCCGCATGCTTATATGCCACTAATCTTCCTTCTATAGATTAGTCTTAGCAACCTGTTTGTTTGGGGGGGGGACTTACATCACAGTGCTTCAGAAAAAGGCTTATAATCCATGAAAAAGTCAGCCCTACCTGAACAGACCTCTTCATAGGTGGGATTTGGGGTGTGTCCTCCAGCATAGCCCACTTGAGTTGAGTAGACTCCTTTCTGTCGCCAAAATTTCCTCTCCGCTCCCCAGAAGCAGCCCATCCCTGTATGGAACAAAATAGAACGCATTCTTGTTATGAATGCCTAAAAGAGCATATTCAATGTGCCATAAAGGTAAAGGTAAAGGTACCCCTGCCCGTACGGGCCAGTCTTGACAGACTCTAGGGTTGTGCGCCCATCTCACTCAAGAAGCCGGGGGCCAGCGCTGTCCGAAGACACTTCCGGGTCACGTGGCCAGCGTGACAAAGCTGCATCTGGCGAGCCAGCGCAGCACACGGAACGCCGTTTACCGTCCCGCCAGTAAGCGGTCCCTATTTATCTACTTGCACCCGGAGGTGCTTTCGAACTGCTAGGTTGGCAGGCGCTGGGACCGAGCAACGGGAGCGCACCCCGCCGCGGGGATTCAAACCGCCGACCTTTCGATCGGCAAGCCCTAGGCGCTGAGGCTTTTACCCACAGCGCCAAGCCCGCGTCCCTTGCGCCACCCGCGTCCCATACCACACAGCTAAAAATATAAAACATAAACTATTTAAGAAAAACAAAACAAAACAAAACCAACAACAATAAATTCAAGAGAAGGGAACCCTGTCTTCCAAACTGCTATCAAAAACTCTGTAAAAAAATAAAAATTAAAAGGGAAAGAAAAAGAAAGAATTACTATACATTTAAGAACATTAAAAATAAAAAAGCTCTGTCAAAACTGGTTCCACTATGACAGGGCTCAGATACTCACTGGTGTGCCTGGGCAGGTTCCCCAGAGTCCGAGTTTCCATTTAAAAAGAAAATCTCCCTATGGCAGCCATTTTGAATTATGCTATGCCCCGTGGCAGCTATTTTGTGACTGGCACCAATTGCATTCTCCCCCTGCTATAAGATATAACCCAAGGGAAAGACCAGTTGTTGCATGGAGTCATTGCCTGGTATCAGTCCGTCAATTAATATCCTCAGTAGGATATTACTTCAGGAGGACCAGAAGGATTTGGAGGGCAGCTGCGTCAAAAGTTTATCAGTAGTACCAATAGGATCACACTTCCCCTATGTAACAAGGAAGAATCTGAGCAGACCCTTTGATCCAATGGGAGGGAAAGGAACTCTTCAATGGCAACCTAGTAAGATGCTCTGGCAGTCGTCATGAACACATGCTTTTCTTGAAATACAGTGGTACCTCGCAAGACGAATGCCTCGCAAGACAAAAAACTCGCTAGACGAAAGGGTTTTTTGTTTTTTGAGCTGCTTCGCAAGATGATTTTCCCTATGGGCTTGCTTCGCAAGACAGAAACGTCTTGCAAGTTTGTTTCCTTTTTCTTAACACCGTTAATACAGTTGCGACTTGACTTCGAGGAGCAACTCATAGAATGCGGTGTGGTAGCCTTTTTTGAGGTTTTTAAAGACTTTGGTGATTTTTGAAGCTTTTCCAAAACTTTCCCGACACCGTGCTTCGCAAGACGAAAAAAATCGCAAGACGACAAAACTCGCGGAACGAATTAATTTTGTCTTGCGAGGCACCACTGTAAAACAAAAACCTAATTCTTTCACACTTTAGATGGCCCACTTCCTTTAAAAAAAAAAGGATTTCAAAATGCACAGCCTTTAGGAACGAGAATCCCCATCCATGTAAAAGCCTTAGGGTTGGTTAAATGGCAATTGTACATATTTTTACAGCATAATTTTCTTTTAGCTGATTAACAAACTGTCAAAACACAATAATTTGTATTAATGGCAAACATTCATTTAATGTTCTGCTTCCTGGCATCTGCAATCTTTAAAGGTGGCAGAGCAATAATTAACTAAATTAGAGATCATACAGGAATTTGGGGGGGGACCCTCTCTAGGCTAGTCAATTTATGCATGAAAATAATATTCAAAGTGCACACCAAAATGAAATATTTATTCACTGACATGGCCAGCTAGCCATTAAGTCAGAGTTTCAACTCAACAGAATTCCACTAATTTTAACAAGAGCTTCACCAATTCAAAATATCTGCAATTAAGAGTTAGCAAATATCTAAATATAAACGGGGCCTGGCCTGAAAATTCTCCCTTTGAAGCTGAATGCTCAAAGCAAACAACAAATTAAACAGCAGACAGAACGGACCTTGGTACAACAGGCACCATCTTGAATCCATTCACCCTGCAGTCTCTTGCCCTGTGAGTCATTACCTTAAAAAAAAGGCCAACTTAACTAGGGGAAAGGCTTCAAGTGGAAGCAAGGAAAAGTGTCTTTTTGTGTCCTTCCTTGAATCAGAAGTCCTACATATCGAAAGTGGGCTTCATGTGCTCTATGGTGGTATCTACTTCTTAGCACAGACCTGAGAAAGTGGGCTTTGCTGTTCTTTGTGATCCTTGGGACAGGGAAGGGGTGCCACTTCATCTGGTCGGGGGCAGAGGGTGGCGCTTGGGGGGGAATTGTCATCACGCCACTCCTTGTTGCGTGGAGTACCTCAGGGTGCGATACTCTCCCCAATGCTTTTCAACATCTTCGTTCGAAGATCGACAACAACATCGTTCGAAGACAGAGGAGGTCCTGTGGCTGGGACGGGACAATATGGGATTGGGGGGGCAACTCCCATCTCTTGCAGGGGTGCAATTAGTGCCTGCACCGTCCATTAAGAGTTTGGGTGTAATCTTCGACACCTCCCTTTCCATGGAGGCGCAGATTGCAGCTATAACAAAGGCGGCATTTTTCCATCTCCGCCAAGCTAAGCAGTTGGCTCCTTACCTCTCTCGCCCTGACCTAGCCACTGTGATCCACGCGACGGTCACCTCCAGACTGGATTATTGTAACTCGCTCTACGTGGGGCTGCCCTTGAGACTGACCCAGAAACTCCAGCGGGTGCAGAATGCTGCAGCGAGACTCCTTACGGGGTCTTCGCTGCGAGATCACATTCACCCGGTGCTATACCAGCTGCACTGGCTCCCGGTGGAGTACAGGATCAGGTTTAAGGTGCTGGTTTTAACCTTTAAAGCCCTATACGGCCTAGGACCCTCGTACCTACGGGACCGCCTCTCCTGGTATGTCCCACAGAGGACCTTACGGTCTTCAAATAAAAACATCTTGAAGGTCCCAGGCCACAGAGAGGTTAGGCTGGCCTCAACTAGAGCCAGGGCTTTTTCGGCTGTGGCTCCGATCTGGTGGAACGCTCTGTCACAAGAGACGAGGGTCCTGAGGGACTTGACATCTTTCCGCAGGGCCTGCAAGACAGAGCTGTTCCACCAGGCCTTTGGCCAGGGCACAGCCTGACTCCCTCCCTCGGCAATCTTCGCGGAGCCCTGGCCCAATGGTTGCCAGTGGCTTGATTAGAATTAATTTTATAATGAATGATTTTAGAGTGTTGTTTGTGTTGTACTTTTGTACTGTTTTATTGTTGTTAGCCGCCCTGAGCCCGGCTTCAGCTGGGGAGGGCGGGATATAAATAAAATTTTTTTATTATTATTATTATTATTATTATTATCCCTTCAGATGTCTAGAAGAAACCCAAAAGTTCAACTGCTTTTGGATGGTAGCCAGTAGGTGCTAGCTTTATTAACGATGTTAGAATAAAGACGAGTTATAACATGCTAGAATAAAGACGAGTTATATCCTGAAGCTGAGGCTGCAATACTTTGGCCACCTCATTGTTGGGATACTGCCAGGGAGACAAAGTCCATCATGACTCCACGTCGCCTCCGGACGTCCATCGATCTCCCGTAGACACGCAGTATCAGCAATTAGCGACACGAGCTCCAGAAATAGCTTGCCACATTCCAGAGCTGATGCACGCTCTTATCAGCAGATAATGCACAGCGAAAGATGCACGCAGGAGAGCATTATTTACAAGTTTTATTCAGCGTTGGTCAGAACAAAGAAAAACATGACTGCCTGCTTCGGTGTCTACAGGCACAGAGAGAGAAACGAAAGCAACAGAAAACATAAACTTCCTGTGAACAGGAAATACACAGACTCTGTGACTCACAAAGCCTGCTCCCTTTTAAGGTGGAACGGAAATATCCTAACACTCATGAGAAGAGAAGACTCCCTGGAAAAGACCCTGATGTTGGGAAAGATGGAGGGCACAAGGAAAAGGCCCCACACTACCCAGAAAAGCTCTGCTGGACGGCACAATGAGGGTGCAATGGAGGCAGGAAAGTATGCCTTCTTTGCTGCCTTCACGGCCACTAGGTAGGCTCAGTGGTGTAGCAGCTCTCATAAGGAGCAATGACATCTTTGCCCACACCACTGCTGCTGCTGCCTGCCAGCCACTTAATTGAAAAGAATGGTACCCCTGCATGCTTAGGATGCTGTTGCTGCCAGCTGGGCAGAAGAGGCAGCTGGTTCCTCTATCCAGTCTCATTTTCTTCTCTTTTAAACGTGCCAGCCATTTTGTGTTATGCTGCGCCCCCATGGCAGCCATTTTGTGTGATGCCACATTCCAAGGCAACAACTATGCAACTGGCAACCCAGAGCAGTTTCTCCAAATTCAAAATGGGTCCACTGGCCCCAAAAGTTAAACTACGACCCCAAATGGGTTTAGGGTTTGTTTTTTGCTTTCCATCTTTTATTTTTAGGGCTGGGTTCTACTGGACATCCTGCGGTGCATTCTTTTCTTTCTCTTTTTGCTTTTCCTGTTTCAAAAGTGTTTCAGGCCAGGTCCTCTCTAGGAGTGAATCAGAAGAGCTCTGCTGCCTTCTGCCAATTTCAAAGATTCTTTGAAAGCTCAGTTAACAGAACAAAGCCGTACCCGCCATCAAACGGATTACAAAGGTATGGCCTTCCTTTGATACTTCAGAAACCAACTTCAAACTAAGTCATGTACTCTGGCCGGCTCCTACCTTTGTTGCTGGTTGAAATGTACTAAAAACAAAGAGACAATATGATGACAATCTAAGAATAATTGTACATCCAGAATATTCTGTATCCAGCAATGTATAAAAAGAACTGAACAGAGACTGTGTGGAATTGTATTCTGGGTCACAAAACCATTTGCTTCCCAAACTGTACCAGTACACGCTTGCAAAGCAAGACCTCCTAGCAGGATTGAACCCTCCTGCTCTATGCAGTGTGGTTGGGAGCCGGGGAGAAGACACAGTGCCTCCTTCCCCCACTGTATAGGCTTTTGTAAAATAAAATAAAAACCCAATTAAGCATTAGCTCCACCCCACCCCCAACTGATATCGGGCCAGATCCAGGTCAGGTGTTTCCTGGGTCACCCCAGAGGGTGGGGGCAGAAACTAACCAATTATATTACCCATTTATGATTCTCAGTATTCTTTGGTTTCTTGGAATTCCCAAGCAATGTCCGGTACTTTCAGGTGGTAAAACAAGATTAGGACCCTCAAACAGGGCTAAAAACAACATGTCAGAATGCCTGGGAAAATAAGCATGTTCAGTTAGCCTTCGCTGGGCAGTTATCACTACCTCTGCAACTGATTAATAGACCGCTGACCACTGTGGCCATGTCCACAGCCCAGAGAATAGCTTGAAGGTACGTGATTAAATCTGACAGCTGAAGCTCAGGAGAACTGGCCCAAAGCAGTGCCTGGATTCGAAACTACCTAGGAATCATTTGTACACTTTTGCCAGTTCTAGGCAGCATTTGGGACATTGAAAAGTTCTCCAGACACAACAATATCATGAACATAGAATCCCAGCATCAAAACTGATCATCTACTTCCAGAGAATGCATCCCACTTGAGTCAATTAACAGACAAAGTGAGGGTTGTGGTTTTTTCCCCCAGATTGTGTGATACACTCTCCTCCAAAGGAGACTGGAGAGTGCATGCCAAAGAGATGCTGGACTTCTGCTGCTGCATAAAATATGAAGGCAACAGGAATGCATGCTTCAGGGCAGGGGAGCCCCATGGTCAGGGTACTACCACTGAAAAAACTCTGGAATGGATTCAACTAAGTAGTATCCCTAGCAGGAGCCAGCAGTAGGGCTTTCCCCACTCCTCCCCTCACACCATCCCCAAAATTGGCTTGGGAGAGTCAGGGGAACCTCCAGAAAAATACACAGGAGGAGGAGAGGGGAGGTCATTCAGTTGGGCAAGCAGATATGCTTGTACTGACAGAATGTATTTTTAGTGTGATGTTTAATTCCTCCCTCTACCCCCATCGTTCTGCCCGGACACTGAGGTCCAGCGCCGAGGGCCTTCTGGCGGTTCCCTCCCTGCGAGAAGCCAAGTTACAGGGAACCAGGCAGAGGGCCTTCTCGGTAGTGGCACCCACCCTGTGGAACGCCCTCCCACCAGATTTGTCAAAGAGAAGAACAACTACCAGACTTTTAGAAGACATCTGAAGGCAGCCCTGTTTGGGGAAGCTTTTAATGTTTGATGTACTACGGTATTTTAATATTTTGTTGGAAGCCGCCCAGAGTAGCTGGGGAAGCCCAGCCAGATGGGTGGGGTATAAATAACAAATTATTATTATTATTATTATTATTATTATTATTATTATTACTACTACTACTACTACTATCTCAAGTCACCACCCTTCCTAACTTCAAATGGCAAGAGCACCTTGAGAAGGGTGCCCAATAAAGATCTTATTTGCCAGGCAGGTTCAAAGTCAAAGGGTGGTGGGAACAGATACTCTGAAGTGCCTGGTATGGGGTGGGGGAGAGAGAAACACCATTCTACCGTTCTGTGGTTGGTGCTGGAGGAGACTCTTGAGAGTCCCATGGACTGCAAGAAGAACAAACCTATCCATCCTTAAGGATATCAGCCCTGAGTGCTCTGGTCCATGGGGTCACGAAGAGTCGGACACGACTAAATAACAACAACACTGTTCTGTGGAATGGAATAAAGGAAAGGCTGCTCTAGAACTCAGCAGCAGGCAAAAGATCCCAGCAGTGTCAAAGAGAGTGAGCCATGAGCCCACAAGGATGGAGTTTGAGTTCTACCGGATCTTACAGTTCTTTGTAGAATTGTCGAGTTGGAAAGGCCAGTTAATCCAACCAAATACCAAATCTATAAGCATCCGCTCAACAGACTCCTCACAAGTCACGATAAAGCAAGCATGCACGAGGAAGTTCACCCAACCAGCTGCATCCTGTGGGCAACAAGGAACTTTGCTCCCTGCCTCAGGCTGCAAAAACATGAGGGGAGGAAATAAGGCGGCACCAATTCTAGAAAAGAAGCATGGAGACCTCCAGGTACACAAAGACATGTTTTATTCAGCCCACCGAAGCCTGGGGTTCAATGAAACATCCTTCGGTGCATCTGGAGCTCTCTTCCTTTTTCTCCCCAAACACCTGGAAAGTAATCAGCTGGTGAACTGCAGCAAAGCACAGTGTGCCAGAGGCCAGGTGTCCTCCGTGAACAAGTACCTTGGAATGACATGAAAGCTGCGCATTTCAGAGAAATGTTGCACATACACTGTGTGTACATAAAGGTAAAGGGACCCCTGACCATTAGGTCCAGTCATGGCCGACTCTGGGGTTGTGGCACTCATCTCCCTTTATTGGCCGAGGGAGCTGGCGTACAGCTTCCGGGTCATGTGGCCAGCATGACTAAGCCGCTTCTGGAGAACCAGAGCAGCGCACGGAAATGCCGTTTACCTTCCCGCCGGAGCAGTACCTATTTATCTACTTGCACTTTGACGTGCTTTCGAACTGCTAGGTTGGCAGGAGCAGGGACCGAGAAACGGGAGCTCACCCTGTCGCAGGGATTCAATCCACCAACCTTCTGATCGGCAAGTCCTAGGCTCTGTGGTTTAACCCACAGCGCCACCCGCGTCCCATGAACGAATTCTTATGCCCCACAAATAACCCAGAGATGCATTGTAAATAAAAGCACACATTCTACTCATGTAAAAACACGCTGATTCCCGGACCGCCCGCAGGCTGGATTGAGAAGGTGATTGGGCTGGATCCGACCCCCAGGCCTTAGTTTGCCTACCCATGGTACAAAGCATAAGGGGCTGTTATTGCCTCTTCACCTCTGCTCTACCTTTGTCTGATGCCTTTGTGAAACCTGAAATGGGCAGTTAAGTTTGGTAAGGCAGAGGACCTAGAAGTCCTAGGCTCTGTGGTTTAACCCACAGTGCCACCCGCATCCCCTGTATGTACATACATGCACACATATAGACATAGAAAGATATGGCCCACTGTCTCAGACTGTGTTCTGATGAGCCAATCATTTCCAAGGGCTATATTATTGGGGCACACCAATACCACACAGCATACCTCATCCCTTAGGTATGGAAGTCCCTTCTGCAGCAGAGGAACAGAAATGACAAGATATACAACATATATGTTTATCTAACTCTGCATTGAACCCAAGCAGGTGGTCTGTCCCTACAACTACTCCAGGGAGAATATTTTAAGAATTTTACACTTCTAGGAAGAATGCTATGCTTCTGAAAAGAGTATTCTGCAGATCAAAAAGTCTCTTTTGAAAAGCAATTTGCACTGACATCAAACTCAACGCGCATTGAGACGGATAAAGAAGATACAAGCTGAGCAGATGAAAAATAAAACATAAACTGCAAAATGTCAGAATGAAAAATACAAATTATGGTACCTTGGGGGAAAGACCATGAAAGAGAGCATAAACAGGACCCACACATACACTCAAGAGTTTACAGTTGCATTGCCCTTTTCTCCAAGAACAAAAATCAGAGAGGAAGCATAAAAAGATAAATATGTGATCCTTTGAAATAAGAGAATGCTAATGCAACCTCAATCAAGGACAGTTTCCCGTATTATTGTACAGCGTACTTCAAAAATGTCCTTGGTAATGTCACAGTAACTGAAGTTGTTTTGAAGGAATCTAGAGCCCAATTCTGTTGCTTCTCCATGCCTCGTGTAACAATTTGCCTAGTGTAAAAGGTGAACACATCAGACCAAAAATTGAACATTTTCAATCCAAAAAATTTACTCTCAATATGTTTTCCAGTGCAAATGATTATAAGTATAATGAACTGAAAAAGAATTAAGTTTAAAGTATTTAGAAGATGCAACTGATCTAAAAAACGAGAAAGCATTGTTTGGTTAGGGAGGTGTGCATGAGCATCAGTGAGCATATATATTGAAATGTCTCCTGAACTTTTAATCCTTTTATCTATACCAGTGATTACTTCTTTTTTTAATCAATGATTCTCAACTGAATGCTCAGAGAGGTCCTGGTTGCTCCCAGATCCCAAACTGAAATATATTGACTCGTAACTCTCAAAAGCAGAAGGAAGGACTTGTAACCGAGCAATTTATAAGTAGTAAAATCAATAAAAATGTATGGCTGCATTCACATGTCACATTTAAATCATTGTGTGCTCATTGCCCAAAAGTCCTCCTCCTCCACACTAGGAGCAACAACTCACAAGCCTTGGCTTGTTGCGTCATCTAAACATGAGCTCATGGCTTGTTTCTCTCAAAAACAAAAAACCAACCGTGAATGATAGCCAAGGTTACAAGGTTTGCCACATTTGGATTCAAGTCCCTGCTCAGCCATGAAGCTCACTCCGTCATCTTGAATGAGCCACCAAGGAGTTGGGAATTCTAACAACAACCAAGTGGAATAATAATTGTAAATAATTTTATAGAGCACACACAAAGAGCTGTACTGATAGTCAAGATTATTAATAATAGAAAAACTTACCAAATATTGCCATTTGTGTTCCCTCTGGAAAAGGTTCGACCATGCTGTTTCCATTCACATGGTGTTTATCTAAGAAAGAAGGAAATAGCTACCTGTCAGGTAAGGAAATGTATCATGGGGACAAACCCCTAAAACATATTTATATCTTCGATACCTCAGCTAGCATGAGTTAATGCTAAATCCTTTATTCACAGCAATTTTGATAAAGGCAATTATCAAACGGCACTTCTTGTAGAGAAAACTTTTAAAAACTGCATGAAACTAAAAGATTCTGCTCTTCAGTTTTTTGTTGTTTTTTTTTGTTTGGTATGTATCATGTATATGTGGGACGCAGGTGGTGCTGTGGTCTAAACCACAGAGCCTAGGACTTGTCGATCAGAGTCGAAGGTCGGCGGTTCGAATCCCCGCAACGGGGTGAGCTCCCGTTGCTCGGTCCCAGCTCCTGCCCACCTAGCAGTTCAAAAGCATGTCAAAGTGCAAGTAGATCAATAGGTACTGCTCCAGTGGGAAGGTAAACGGCATTTCCGTGTGCTGCTCTGGTTCACCAGAAGCGGCTTAGTCATGCTGGCCACATGACCCGCAAGCTGTATGCCGGCTCCCTCGGCCAATAAAGCGAGATGAGCGCCACAACCCCAGAGTCAGTCACGACTGGACCTATCAGTCAGGGGTCCCTTTACCTTTACCTTTATCATGTATATGTACCTATATGGTATAGTTTGCCGGACAAGGGCATCCCTGAACACACTTGCTCCATAGCCAGGAAGCCCACCTGCCACTTGGATCACTAATGTGAGCTAAACTCCTGAAAACACATTAGACTGGGGTCTGGGTCTGCTCCCCTCAGTATCCCTAGGTCCCCTCAGTATCCCTAGGTCCCTAGGTGTGACAGCATTGGAGGGCCTGTTATATTCTTCATGTAGCTTACTTGGTCACCTTGCCTCTGTAACACCCATAACATTTGAATTGGGGTCCTTAAATCTAGACCTGCTGTAAATAAAAATTGTTGTGTGTGAACAAACAGAAAAAACCTCTTGCTTACTGCAAATGGCAATTCCTTATGTCATTTTTTTAAATGTGCTTCCAGGAGGAAGGGGTGGGGACACCAATGATAGTAGTGGGGTGAGAGAGCTGAAAAGAATGTCAATACGTATATTTCACATCTGGCAACCAGTGAGCCCCTTTGGTTTTCGATAGCACATGGGTAAACACGTCTATAAAGCCTGGGACACAAATTTTCACGGCCCTTTAGCGACTTGTTCTTGTTGTTGTTTAGTCATTTAGTTGTGTCCAACTCTTCGTGACCCTATGGACCAGAGCACGCCAGGCACTCCTGTCTTCCACTGCGTCCCGCAGTTTAGTCAAACTCATGCTGGTAGCTTCAAGAACACTATCCAACCATCTCGTCCTCTGCCGTCCCCTCCTCCTTGTGCCCTCCATCTTTCCCAACATCAGGGTCTTTTCCAGGGAGTCTTCTCTTCTCATGAGGTGGCCAAAGTCTTGGAGTCTCAGCTTCAGGATCTGTCCTTCCAGTGAGCACTCAGGGCTGATTTCCTTCAGAATGGAGAGGTTTGATCTTCTTGCAGTCCATGGGACTCTCAAGAGTCTCCTCCAGCACCATAATTCAAAAGCATCAATTCTTCGGCAGTCAGCCTTCTTTATGGTCCAGCTCTCACTTCCATACATCACTACTGGGAAAACTATAGCTTTAACTATACGGACCTTTGTTGGCAAGGTGATGGCTCTGCTTTTACTGGAAGTACTGCATTTAGTGTTAACTCTGGATGTGTAGACTTGATTCTGACCAAATTAAGCCTCCTGGTGTATATTTTGCTCTAGGAGGCATAGTTTGGTCAGAATCAAGTCTACACTTCCAAAGTTAACGCCTGGCAGGCATTTGGCACAGAGAATTTTATCCATGCCTATTCTCACATGAAGGCATTCTGTGGTAGGCATTACCTTCAAGGCCACAGGAAGGTAATACCTTGGGGTTTGGTTGTCATGGCCTAAAAGTCCACCCCCAGCTCTTTATTTTCATGTGAGCTCAATAATTTTAGCTTGAACTGTTAATGTCTCCACCACATATAATCAATAATGGTTACTTTGTTAGATACTTGTTATTTATAGCTAATAGGCTTTTAAAATACTTGCTTTCAATTATGCTTGTGTGAAAAGAAATTCACTTCTGTATTTTATTTCAATACCAATTTATTGTGCTGTTGTTACACAGGGGTCTAAAGAAAATATAGAGCACCATTAATTTTCTTAAACAACCTCCCATTTTGTCAGAGATCTAAAAAACCTTTACAGCAATATCCACAACAGTGCCCAGATATTTTAACGTCAGGTTCCATTGGCTTTGATGAGACCACACCAACGCAATTAGCATGTAATCCTGCAGGAACTTTTGCAAAAAATAAAAAAACTGACCAGCAATAGTCATGAGGCAAAGCCAAGCAGGTTCCAATAAAACGAGCATTTTAGGGAAACAGTACATATAAAATTGAAGTACATAATGTAATTTTCATGTGTCAGAACAGGATGCTGTACTAATGGACCCTGGTCTGATCCAGCAGAGCTTTTATTCCGTTCTTAAAGCCTGCAAAATTAAATGGAACAGGCTTAAGCTGCTCCATCTATATACTTGGAAGAAGCAAAAGATCACCCTCCCAAAGGAAGAGCAGAAGAAGTATCTGGGAAGTAGGAAGAAGAAAGAATGAGCGAAAGGCCATACCTCAATGATAGAGCATCTGCTTTTTCCGCAGAAGGTCCCAGGAAGGGATGGGAATATCCCCTCTTTTAAACTGTAGAGAAGCCACAGCAAGTCCATGCAGACAATACAGTGTTACCTTGGTTCTCAAATGCCTTGGTACTCAAACAACTTGGAACACAAACACTGCAAACCCAGAAGTAAGTGTTCTGGTGTGCAAGCATTTTTGGAAGCCAAACGTCCTCCGTTTTGAGTGTCACACTTCCGTTTTGAGTGTTACCGCTTCCGATTTGAGTGCCACACTTCCGTTTTGAGTGTTACGTTTCCAATTTGAGTGCCACACTTCCAATTTGAGTGCCACACTTCCGTTTTGAGTGTTACACTTCCATATTGAGTGTTACATTAAGGTCTGTCTGTTTTTGCTATTTGTTTTGCGGTTCTGTTTTTGCAGCTCTTTTTTGTTTTGTTTTTGTGACTGTGTGGAACCCAGTTCAGCTACTGATTGATTGATTGATTGATTGATTGTGTGACTGCACTACCAATGTTTACTGCTTTCATTTTATGGATCAATGGTCTTGTTAGATAGTAAAATTCACGTTAAATTGCTGTTTTAGGGGTTGTTTTTAAAAGTCTGGAACAGATTAATCCATTTTGCATTACTTTCTATGGGAAAGCGCACCTTGGTTTGGGAACGCTTTAGTTTTGGAACGGATTAAGTTTGAGAACCAAGGTACTGCGATAGATGGACCAATGGTCTATGTCTCTATAAAGCAGCTTACAATGTTCCCAGGATATGGACTGTCTGTTCCATTTATTCCTTGCAAGTTAAAAAGCCCCAAATGTTTCTTTTAAGCTCTAAACTAAAAAGAAAAGCGCTACAGCAGGAAACGAGTAAATTCCTTGTTTCTGAGAGTTGCATGGCTTAAGGGGGCAGGAAAAAGCCCTGGCAATCTGAGATGCAGCAATAAATCACCAAGTGCCAGGAAAGACAATAGGATTGCAATGGGATTACGCTGGCAGAAGTTTCTTTCACCTGATTTCCAGCCCATTCCCAGACTTACCCCTTAACTCCCACTCTTTGTGACAACCCTTCACTGCTGTGAATAAGCATCAGGAAATATCTGGAAGCCAGTGGTTTGCATTTCACACTTGCATACAAGACACTAACCAGGAAGAGATGGAAATAATGTATTTAATTTAAGAGCGGGTATTTGTCACTGTGATTTTCTCTTTCAGTATCTTAGAAGTGAAATGTCTAATAATGTCAGCAGGGTGGGGGGCGGAGAGACAGAGAGAAAGAGAGAGAGATATTGTGTCCATTTGCTAATGCTGCTTTCCACTCAAATGTTCCTCTTCAACAGTAGAAGAGTTCGCTCTCATTGTCACGAATGAAAGAACTTGCTCAACTAGCTTCGCTGGGGGTTTGCATCTGTGATTCTCAAGCACAGCAAACAAAAGCTTGGTACTCAAGGGAATTTGAGAAGATTGCAAGAGGGTGGGTGTGGGTGGGTGTTTTCAGTGCTGTTTACTTATTTTCTTTCATAAACTGAGCCTAAATTAGTTGTTTGTCTCCTGGCCCACTTTAAGCTTTCTGCAAGGTCAGGCCATCATATCAGACAAACACGGTGTTTGCCCCAATGCTACACTACCTTCCCCAATGACTGCCTTTTAAGTCCCCAATTGCACCCTTTGCTATACACAGTTGTGCAGGATACCGATAGTTCTCATGTTCCAAATGGCAAGCTATTTAATCTTGTTGTTTGGTCGTTTAGTCATGTCCGACTCTTCGTGACCCCACAGACCAGAGCACGCCAGGCCCTCCTGTCTTCCACTGCCTCCCACAGTTTGGTCAGACTCATGTTCATAGCTTCAAGAACACTGTCCAACCATCTTGTCCTCCGTCATCCCCTTCTCCTTGTGCCCTCCATCTTTCCCAACATCAGGGTCTTTTCCAGGGAGTCTTCTCTTCTCATGAGGTGACCAAAGGATTGGAGTCTCAGCTTCAGGATCTGTCTTTCCAGTGAGCACTCAGGGCTGATTTCCTTCAGAATTGAGAGGTTTGATCTTCTTGCAGTCCATGGGACTCTCAAGAGTCTCCTCCAGCACCATAATTCAAAAGCATCAATTCTTCGACTATCAGCCTTCTTTATGGTCCAGCTCTCACTTCCATACATCACTACTGGGAAAACCATGGCTTTAACTATACAGACCTTTGTTGGCAAGGTGATGTCTCTGCTTTTTAAGATGCTGTCTAGGCCTGTCATTGCCCTTCTCCCAAGGAGCAGGCGTCTTTTACTTTCGTGGCTGCTGTCACCATCTGCAGTGATCATGGAGCCCAAGAAAGTAAAATCTCTCACTGCCT